GAGGGGGGAGAGGGAGAGGGAGGATGGAGAGAGGGACAGAAAGCGATAGAGAGAGAAATAAAGAGAGCGTAAAAGAGAGAGAGAGAGAGAGAGAGAGAGAGAGAGAGAGAGAGACAGAGAGAGAGACAGAGAGAGAGACAGAGACAGAGACAGAGACAGAGAGACAGAGAGACAAACACTGGTACCAAGGCAGCCTTGCAACTCTCTAAATCTATCGGTAGTACCAAGAACCATTCCAACGGCTTGGACACATTTCTCAAGGTGCCCCGCTCCTTTGTGCTTTTGTGACCGGGTGACCAGTTATATCTTTCGGTCTGTAGCGGTCATTGGCTGTGTACAAGGAAGGATTATGCTTTATGGCGCGTGTACCCTGAGACGAGCGATATTCAAGTCATACGAAACTGTGCACGGCTTAGGTGGGTAGCGATCCTCGGATTAGCTTCGGGAGTTCCCGTTTGTCGTCTGTCCGTGGCGATTAAATGATTGTTATGTACCTGAAGTGTGTGGCTGGTTTGATTGTATGTTTCGTTCCGGTTTTCAGTGAGGGATTGTCTGACTAATTTATTTTTCCCCTGAAAAGGAAGGGGTTGAGTTAGGTAGACTTAATGTGCAGGGGAAGAGAAGCATAAAACTTTGACCACGTTGTTCTGAATTGTCTGTCTGTCTGTCTGTCTGTCTGTCTGTCTGTCTGTCTGTCTGTCTGTCTGTCTGTCTGTCTGCCTGTCTGTCTGTCTGTCTGTCTGTCTGTGTGTCTGTCTATCTGTGTGTCTGTGTGTCTGTCTGTGTGTCTGTCTGTCTGTCTGTTTCTCCCCCTCTCTCTATTTTTCACTCTATATCTCTCGTTCCGTCCTTCTTTCTTCTTTTTTATTTCTTTATCCCCCCACCCCCCCTCTCTCTCCCAGGGTCAGCGCCATGTAGTGGCCACCGTTCTTGCATTCTAGAATAACATTCTTGCAAAGCGTAAATGCACGACTTCAGTCCGGTTTCGGTACTAGTCAGATGGCGTCATTTTTCAGGGAAAGAGAGGGGGGGAGAGAGAGAGAGAGAGAGAGAGAGAGAGAGAGAGAGAGAGAGAGACAGACAGGGAGTGCTAAAAATAAACCAGAACTGATCTCAACAAACTTTTCGCCCGGTCTGCTTAATGTTTCATCTTCACCCCTCCTCCCCTCCCAAAAGATGTATCATTAATGTGGTATCTTTTCAAATGTTTTCTTTCTGAAATTTCTATTTCCGCTGAATATCCATTTTTTTTAGCTTGAAGAATTGAATTCAACATGGCATGCGAGTACAACATTTGGAAGGTAATTGAGATGGGTTTAACTCCCCATTTCAATAAAACATAATAACTGAAAGCATTTGTATAGCGCAAGTCCCCGCGCAATAGCAAGCTCTATGCGCTTCACACTCTATACTATGACTCCAGCAAACCTGAGAGCATTCTGAAACAACCTCATAACTTCCTGGGAAGGATACCGTGCAAGCAGCCAATTATAGGCGCTAAAACACTAACATACTGTCTATAGTCTATGGCCTGGTCTATGGCCGTTGTCTATGGCCGAGTACCCATTCCCACCTGGGTGAAGTGATGGAAATTCGTGTAAAGTGTGTTTCTCAAGGACTCAACGTCAGACCCGCGGCTCGAACCCCAGAACCCGCAATCTCACGACTACGAGTCCGGTAGCCTATCCACTAGGCCACCGACGCCACAATACTGATCTCAGTTTATTTATGAGACTGGAGGTCCGACTCAAAGTCCATCTCAGATAGGACAAAGTCAACTTCATAAGCGCCCAACTTCTTTATACTCAATAATTTGGGATTCGAACCATGGTCATCGACGCCACAGCCCAGCATGATACGATGTTGGTTATCGTTGAGTCCCTGCTGCGCCTCTCACCCCCCCAATCCAGACACACAGGGTATAATACAAGCATAATGCTAGACCCCTAGGACGCCGACAGAAGGGATTTCAGGACAACCACCCCACCAGCACACGCTCTTTGTGGTGGGCTCAGGACCTGCTGTTCAGAGGCGACAGGTTGTCCGCAACTATCTGATGCTATTTTTACCATATTTTATTATTATGGCCCCCCTTAACATGGTCTTCCTGCAGCGCTTCCCACGCAGAAACAGCTTATCGTCGGACGTACTGAGCCCAAAATTGTGAACTCTTCATTAAATTGCAGTTTCCTAGTCTGTGGTATCAGTTGCATGCTTTCGAGTTTCGTTTATTTGTTTGACTAAAGCCAACCACATCGACAAAATAATTGTCATTTAGTGCTAGGAAAAGGAAGACAGACAGATAAAAATGACAGAGGGAATGTAAAAGAGTAAGGACCAACAAGTGAACCCTCCAACCACGCATCATGTGATCGAGAACTATGTCGAAAGTAAAATACCAAATGTTAAAAACGTAAGGTCAAATTCATAACGTAGGTACAGTTTTGGAAAGAATGAAAATTTTCTCTCTCTCCTGAAAAAAAAATGTGTCTCGACGCGGTCGAGTGAGGCGCTCGTCATTTTCTGGAATTAGATCTATTGGTATCCTAACAAAGCATGTTCATTTGTCTTGCTTTCGATGAAAAAAAAACAACATCTATCTCGTACAGAAATCGAGAGATTTGCAATTGAAGGAGGTGGGGGTTTCCTGGTTTCCGAGGTAAGATTGGCGAGAAAGTGGCTGCCAAGGTTTGGTGACATCCAGTGCTTGAAAGTAAAAGGAACTTGAAAATTTACATTTTTGTGTGCCTCTAAGCAACAATTTTAAATCGACATTAAAGGATCTGAGCCAAAAAACAAACATCGGCATTCACAAAGGGTATATAATTATCCATGTTTTACAGCATGCGCTATACTCTTTAATAACCGTTTTTACCCCTGCAGACCAAGAAACACTTTCGCTTTCTCGGGAAGCATACAGGTAGACACTTTAATCTCAGTAATAGTAGTTCTATTTCAAATTTGGCTCGACACACTGTGTCTATTTTAGAAAAGTTGTGAGATCCCTTCCGACGGTGATCTCGATGTCTCCATGTACTCTCTTGCACAAAGACGGTACCCTTCGAACTAAGTCTTTCTTAAACGGAGAGCCGAGGGGATA